GTATGTATGTATGCATGTATATGTATATGATTATGGTTATGAATATATATATATATATGTATATGTATATGTCTATGTATAGGTATATGTACATGTATATGTATATGTATATGTTTGTGTATGTATGCATGTATGTATGTATGTATGTATGTATGTATGTATGTATATATATGTATGTACGTATGTATATATGTATAGCAAAATCTCTAAATATGTTCCTGTATATCTCTGTATGTACAAGAAGAACCTTTTGTATGTGTGTATATATACATAAACATTTTGTATCTTTATGTACACTCAAATTCTTACTCTGCCTTATTTGTATATTGATATTCGCAGTCATGCGTTCTACTCATGTGAATTTCATGCACATACTACTCATTTGTGTATGCATACTTGTACTGTGCGGGTATTTGAATGTTTGTGCAGGTGCCTGAATAATTCGATCTGGGTCTTGTAGAATCCTATGCTCAAGCTATGTAATAAGAAAACGTAATGAACATTATTTTATTCACACACGTTGTTGTTCCTTGCTGCAGGCCGAGTCCCGCCACGGAAGCCCTGATGCCCAAATTGTCCAATCCATGTGCTCAGGATTTGGGGTTCGAGGGTGTTGGAATTTAGTCTAAAAAAGCGCCGAAGCCCGACCTGCAAGCCAAACAACCCCAATCCTTACAATCCTACTCCCCAAGAGCAGTCGTAGAACCCCGATGAAGTAACTTCCCTAAAAGTCTTTGTGGAACCCTTCTCAATAGCCCTCACTAAGTCTCAAAGCGCACCAGACGAATGAAGCCGAAGCCTTTCAAGATGCTTGAACCCCTAAACCCTGAAGCCCTTGAACCCTTTAAGCCCTTGAGCCCTAAACCCTAAACCCTGAAGCCCTTGAACCCTTTAAGCCCTTGAGCACTAATCCCCACCAGGCCGATGACGCCGCAGCACTGAAAGATCCCACCTGGTCCTTGCAGCCCTTCGTTATACGAAAGGATCCGCGGATTCTGGCTCCTTGGGCCTAAGGAAAAGGGTTTAGGGCCAGGGTTGAGGGTTTAGGGTTAATAGTTAAAATAGGGCATCCTGTCTTTGGGCGTTTAGGGTTGAGGGTTTAGGGTTAATAGTTTAAAATAGGGTGCTGGGTTTAGGGTTTAGGGGCCTTGATAGTTAAGAGTAGGGTGCTGACACTTAGAACAGGGTTTAGGGTTTAGGGCATTTGCCTTGGTTGAGCTGTTTGGCGTTTGCTTACATTCTGGCCCTAAAGCCTCAAACCACACGAATGCATTGGGTAGTTGACGCGACGCAGGTTTGTTGCTCTCTTGAGTTTTCGAGACTCTGCGCTGCTAATCGAGTGTAGAAGATCCTGAACACCCGCACTGTCGCGAATCTACTCCAGCAGAACCTCTTGGAACCTTAAACCTTATATAGGAAGCCTTTGTGATTGCTGAGTGAAAGGTACCCCTAAACCCTACACCCTAAATCCTACACCCTAAACCCTAAACCCTAAACCCTAAACCCTAACCCTAATCTTCTTCTGGGTCGTTTTATGCTCCGAGTCGAGGAGCGTCAGCCGGCGCTAACCCGGGAAGCGCTGCTACGTGCAGCTGAGGCTCGCATGCTTTAGAGCTTCTTTCCAGAGTTTTTGAAGGGATCGGTTAGAGATTTTTAAAGGGTCTGGGGGTTTGTAATTCTGTTTGTAATACGAAAAAGGTACCCATATCATGTTTTCGAGCTTCTTTAAGGGGTTTGGGGGTTTGTACTATGGATGCTTGCAGAATCAGCAATGCTATTCCGGGGGTTCCCTTATTGAGGGATCCTGTAAGGGAACCCTAAATCCTAAACCCTAAACCCTAAACTCTAAAACCCTAAGCCCTAAACCCTAAACTCTAACACCCTAAACCCTAAAACCCAAAACCCTAAAACCCTAAACTCTAAAGCCCTAAACCCTAAAACCCTAAACCCCGAACCCGATAAACCCTAAACTCTAAAACTCTAAACCCTAAAAACCTAAACCCTGAAGCCCTAAGCCCCAAACCCTAAACCCCAAACCCTAAAGCCCTAAACCCCAAAACTCTTTCTACCCGAAGCTCTATAAGACCCCAGGACTCGGATTCAGGGGTGTCAGGGTGTCAGGGATGTTTTTTTTTGGGGGGACCGGGCCGGGCCTTGGGGACGAGGGTTTTGCATCCTTTCTTTCGGGTTTAGGGTTTGGGGTTTGGGGTTTAGGTTTTGGGGTTTAGGGTTTAGGGTTTAGGGTTTAGGGTTTAGGATTGTCTCAAAACTTTCGTGGCTTCGCACCTTACGTGTAATTTACGTGCATTAGATCCTATATTTACTTTTTGCCTTTGAGCCGTGTAGACGCTGCACCGCCCTCTTTTCCCGTAGTTCATAAGGAGCCTTATAGAAGCTCTATATACCTTATGGAAGCCTTATAGAAGCCCTATATACCCTAAACTCCCCACTTGTAGTTTCCTTTAACCTGTTCTTCAGGAGACTAGAAACATCAAAGTCAGAACTGCTGAACCCTAAACCCTAAACCCTAAACCCGAAACCCTAAGCCCTAAACCCTAAACCCCAAACCCTAAACCCGAAACCCTAAACCCTAAACCCCGTTCTTCAGGAGACCGGGGCAACGGTTCGAGTTGGCTACTCCTGGAGCATCGCGCAAAACAGAGGCGAAGGGCCCAGAGAAATGCCGCCTCTCGGCCCGGTCAGCGTCCCCACTGTAGGGTTTAGGGTTTAGAGGCTTTAAGGGCTTTAACTAATTTCCAATACTATTTCGGGGGTTCCTTATTATAGATATAGTATAAGATACCCCAAAACCCTATTCTAACCATTAACGCCCCTATGTTACTTAAAGGATCATGGGACTTAGTAACTAGCGTTATCCTTAGATTAACTATACGTCTGACTATCTATGACCCGATGAAGGTACTTATAACCATGCTTACTCAACGATATGATCCTCCAAGCAGGGTCCTTGTCGTTGATTTTGCCATGTCTTTAGGATGTGTAGGCGCTTTCTTTGAAGCTTAATTACAATTGTGCCGCAAGCTCAATCCCAAGCGAATTAGCACAAATCCGTGTGTTTTAGTCGCACATCCGAGAGTTTAGGGGTTCTACCATGCTTCAAGCCTCTAGACTCTAGACGTTCTGGACGCGACAGTCACTACAGATCAGCATCGATATCTGCATCGCGGACGATGTTCGCCATCCACTGAAAGCGAATAAATGGTCTCCATAAATGAGTAGTATTCACCTTCACTTGTAGGCTCTGTACAATCCAATTCAGCTGCTGAGGTTGACAGACTATCTTCAGAGCGAGATGGACCAAGGTGAGCTCCCGCACATTTGCCGGCACTACAGAAGAATTCCACGTTGACAGGGGTCGTAGCGCAGTGTCTAAGGTTTGCGGTCGATCTTCGAAACTGCACATGTCCCGAAAGGCATCTACGATGATGCGGAGTTTCTGGAGCCCAGCTACGCCTTTGTTCGCGACTCAGTCGGTCGCAGATGGTAGCTTCTGAGATTCTCCTACTCTGCCGCGTCTGCCTTGCTCGCAGGACATGGGCTTAAAGCTCGCTGGAATGCCGGACAGCGAGGACATCCACCCTGCCTCTGGTCGAAGAAATTTTGGTGCTGGACTCTGATGTGTTGCTTTGTGGTTTGTGACGTTTGGTGTTTCTTTTTTTTCAATTCTCTTCAACTTCGAGCATGTGCATGGAGTGTTATAGAGTGATCGGTGACACAAGTTTTACACGCTGGAGCTTGTCCGCCAAGTTATTGCTAATTTCTGGCTTGTGGAAGCCTCAAACCGTAAGGGGAGTGCCGGGGGGGAGCGGTTTGCACGTCCATGGAGTCAGCCTAGGTCATACGTTCATGGAACGAGTCTGCTTTCTCCGTGCCCGACACGGCCGTCACAGTGCACATGTTGCTTGGTGCAACAGCTTAGCACTCGCCCTGTTGAGCTGCAGCGGGGTTCTGCGACCGGTTCCGCCGTCATCGCTTGGGAATTGCAGTGATACGAGATTGTAAACAGAATCAGAATCCATCATCCTTCCTTCCCTCCACAGCATCCACCCCCACCGGGGCCTCGTCGGCTTAGTTCTTAAAACCTCTGGAATCCAAAAGCTCTGGACCCGAAAACCTGAGAGCTTCCAAAAACCCCCAAACCCTCGAACGGCCCAAAGGCCTAAAGCCCTGAAGCCCCAAACCCTAAAAGGCCCAAAGGGCCGGAAAGCCCTCAACCCCAGAAGGCCTCAAAGGGCCCCAAGCCCTACCCAGAGAGCCCAATACCCCTTAATTACGAAATATACCTTAGATCATAATATTAAGGCCCCTATAATTTAAGGTATATTCCTTAATTAAACGGTATTGGGCTCTCTGGGTAAAGAGCCCTAAACCCTAAACCCTAAACCTTAAACCTTAAACCCTAAACCCTAAACCTTAAACCCTAAACCCTAAACCTTAAACCTTAAACCCTAAGTCCTAAACACAAAACCCCAAACCCTAAACCCTATAAACCCCCAAGCCCTCAAGAGCCTCTGAACTCTGAGGATCGGTGGGGCCAGGAGCGCTGTCGGCTGGCACACCCACGGCGCCACCGTGCAGATGACGGTGCATGGCCGGACCGGAGCCCTTATTAGGGTTTAGGGTGTAGGGTTTAGGGTATAGGGTTTAGGGTTTAAAGGGTTTAGGGGTTTAGGGGTTTAGGGTGTAGGGTTTAGGGTTCGGGGGTTTNNTTAGGGTTTCGGTGCTCCTAGAATACCGTGGCCTGAATAGGGTGTTGGGACTTGTTGGGGTGTTATAGTATACTTAGGGTAGGGCCCCAGGAATCCAGAGGCTTGTACAGGTTGTTTTGGTTTTTGTACGGTTAGGGCCCCTGGAATTTTAGCGAAGGGTTGAACTTAAACCCTAAACCTTAAACCCTAAACCTTAAACCCTAAACCTTAAAACCCTAAACCCTAAACCCTAAACCCTAAACCCTAAACCCTGAACCCTAAACCCTAAACCCTGAACCCTAACTTCTTCTAGGCCTG